GTTGAAAACCAATTGTTTGAGCTCTAGATTCTTTCCTAATATATAAAATCCATTTAATAAGGCAATAAGAGTGACAAATCCTGGTCACTTTTTTTCTCTGGAACTGCAATTTCACCCCTGCTATTGGAAAAATATACATATAAAATATACTTTCAAATTATAAAGTAACATCATGCATCTGTAAATCAGTTGTCACCTTTAAGTCTTCTCTATTGCAGAAGCAGTGAGTTCTTTAAGTATTTGGACAAAAAGGAGTAATGTTCAGTAACATGAGAGCAAAAGGGAGAGAAACTTATTGGTATTTCTTGCTCTGCCCTGCCTTGCCTTTTCTTTGCCCACACTTGCAAGATTAGAAAGTTAAGTCTTTGATATTTGTATCTGAGATGTGGTAATACAGAAATGCTGGGGATTATTCAGTGCAAAAAGGGAGTGGGCTACTGTAGTCATGACAAACTCCTCCTGAATATAAAAAGTAAGGGTAGCACTACCCCAGTACTATAATACTTTTAACAGTTTTTCCCCTCTCTTCTGTTCATTGCCTTCTTGCCAATGTTTACATTCAACCACCTATTTTGGATACCTGAAGGTTAGGATCAGAATCGTTCAGCTGTTTATGATTATACTGGATTATCTGCATAAGTATCTTCTGAAAATATTTTCATAAGCCCAGTACTTGGTGGATGTGGGTTATCTGTCTGTGTCATGTGTCCCCCCCTATTTTTTTTCTATATTTAATATTTTTATTGGTCTATGAGAATACAAGAGAGAGGAAGGTCACATTTGACTGGGTTTTTTTGGGGGGAGAGGGGAAGGCTTGCATATGTGCGTGCCAGGAAATCTAATTTCATGGGGAAGAGAACAGCAGAGCTGTGCTCTAGAAAGAGGACATAAGCAATGCCATAACATCTTCAAACAAAGATTATTTGAGCTATAGGGCAAGCAACTTCAGATTGGGTATGCTGCCACTAAAAAAAATGGTTGCAAACGTAAGCAGCCAAGAGCATGTGTGCGTTTACACATGTGCAAGTCACTCTGCTTCAGGATAGCTGTGCATAAGAGCTCATCAGGAGACAGAAAGTGAGAAAGACTTAGTGCAAGTGCTTTACTATTTTCTAGGAAACTGCATACCAGGTTTTTTAAACCAGTATGTTACCTTGAAACTGCATGCAGGGATCTTCAAGAGGACCAAGGAATTTTGAAAGATCCTCTCCCTTGACAATCAGTGGCATTTCTGCTAAAAATTCTTGTGTTTTTTGTCTATCATTGAAAAGTATGATCTGAGTGCAAGAGTATCATAGAAATATGCTAAATTCAATGCAGTGTATCTTTGAAGACTATGCAGTAGCCTAAAATTCTTTTAGCATCTGAGGCTTATCCAAACTATGCAGACGCTCACACTTTGTAGTAATTACAGTTGAATAACTGAATATAAGACCATTAACACATCCAAGTTATAGGCTGTTGACAGATGTCTCAGTTTTCCGATCTTTTTTGAACGTTTTCTGGTTTGCCCTTGTTACCTAATTTTGTTTTACTTGCTATTCCATTTTGATCTGTAACTGTTCAATGAGCTTAATGTGTCTTCAGATAACAGGTGTTAACTCTTGAGAGTAGCTTCAAAGTTCATTTTGGACTTCTGCCTGCAGTTCAGATTGTGATCATCTGAGTTCTTACTCAGATCTAAGTCTTGAAATTCCTTCCTACTTGGACACTTTAATTCATGTCACACCAAATACTGTCTTGCTAATATTCAGTTATCAACTACCCCTTTGCCATGGAAAATATATTGTCCTTTATAGTCTTGTATAATCAAAAGAAGTGGACAATATGTAGTCTAAAGAAACATAAATACCTGGAGTGAAAAGAATGTAAGACTCCTCTTTAAAAACAAACAAAACACCTTTGCAATACAATTAAAACAAATAGGCAACAATGTCTGCCTTGTATATACACTTCAGTTATTGGATGAAAGCACAAAATGCAAAGGCAGATCATGAATGAATCAACAGCAGAATAAACCTAGACCTCCTTACTGAGAAAATGGGTCTATACAGACTGAGTGCGTTAAGCCAAGACACTGAGGGAGAGGCAGAGAAATGTCACTTTAAGGATCACTTTTTGGGAAAAAGCATATAACTATGTTCCATTCTTTCCATTAGGAAACTCTGATGTATTAGTTGTGTGCAAATGTAGCTAACTTTCTGTTTCAGTATCTGCACATGCATGTAGTTGAAAAGACCAAGTAAATGATGAAGTGAGTTGGGTTGGTCGCACATTTAAGAATCCTTGCTTTGATTGGGCCTATGCTGAGTAAATCAGATGTGAAGGGATTAGCGCCTGAGGCATGTTCCAGGTGATTTCAGACAAATGGATAGTTTAACTGTGCAAACTGGAAAAGAAAAAACATTCCGAACTGGAGAGAGTGTGCTTGCTTGCCTCATATAGTCCAAAGATGGGGTTTTTAACCTTTTTCCTCTTTTCTCTTTTACTTCTCTACTGAGGATATAAATCAGTTTCATTTGTCTTCCTTTTTGCTTTCCCAAGGTGCAAGTCTGTAAGCATGTTTTTATGCTGATGAGTAAATATGATTCTTGAAAACTTCACAGCGCATGAGCATTCAAAGTTTGTACATCTCATTGATTCCATTTTGGCATTCAGCAGCAAAACATGGCTGCTATTCTCAAACTGTCAGCAGTTTTCCCTGCAGCGCTGGAAGGTAGTTGATGAACTGGAATTTCTATAGTTCAAAATTCCTTAAGTGTAATGAATGAGTATGAATTCACTATTTTTCTAATTACACTGACTCATTGAAGTTCTACAGCTCTGAGTGGAAATAAGGATAGTTTTATTGTTAAAAAAATCTGTACTTCACAGGTTACACAGTGTCTCATAAAAATTAAGTCTTTCTGCAGGCTTCTTTGTGCCTGGCATGTTTGATATTTATTATAGATATTTTGTCAGAGATGCATAGTCAGAAGCTGAATGATGAACAGGGTCGGCCTTCTCTTGACTTTGGCATTCGGCCCAGGTTTTCTTTATCACTATTTTATTTATTTATTTATTTTAAAGGAAAACTAAAAGGAAAAAAAGGTGTGGGGGAGGGAATAATGTAGTGCTGCCGCTTAGGACTTACTCGTTCTCATTCTTGTGCTTTCTGTAGCACTAGTATCAACTATTCAATGAGTGTCTTTGTAAAGCATCTACCAGGCTGTCAGATTCCTGATGTAGAGAAGCTAGATGGTGCCAGAAATCAGTCATTCTGTGCTAAATATTGCTGCTGGCTCCACTCCCTGTCTCTCAGAGTCTGTAGAAGTCTAATCTTCTGTTCTTCAGAGAAAAGATGGCAGGAATTAACAGCAGCTTCAGATGGTGTTTTTATGTAACAAATGTCTTCCTATCCTGCACGGTTAAGGAGTTAAACCGGTCTATAGGTCTCAAGTGGTAGCAAGGCCCTATTTTGTTTCTTTTTGGTGTCTTATGTTACATGGAATGCTTTGATGCACAGCTACTGTGTATTTGTCATTGAGTTCTTTACTTGCCAAGACTTCAGTTTAGTCAATTTAGAAATTCTTCTATTTTAAACAAAGTGCTTTGCTGCCAATCAGTCTAAACATCAATATTAAACTGCCTTGGACATGCACAGAAGGTCAGCCAGGAGAATGCCTATAAAGCAGCTTAGATACCTCCAGCTTTCACCACCCACATGATGCCTGTACAGAATTGGCACACTGAAAATTAAAATTGTATAGCGTTAAAACTAAACTTGGAAAAAATAATGCTGAAGCTAATGCGCAAACAAAGCCTTTCAGAATTGAAATGCATCTTCATGGCATTTCCTGTTTTTATAGAATCCAGGGAACTTTCCAGAAAAACCAAGAGGCATTTGATTGTATAAGAAAGAATAGAATGAATTTTACAATCGCCCTTTCAATATGCAAATAATTTTTAGTACTCATTTAAACTAATCATTACAAAATTAGCCTAGAGTAAATGAGATCAAGCTGCATTGTTTTGTTTAAACGTGCTGCACAGCTGACTTAGGTGCTTCAGTAGCACATAGTACCTACATTAAAAATGTGAATCTTCAAAAGGTTTTATTCAGTGCTTATCTCACTGTGGAAGTGCCCAAATCCCCCAGCAACCAAATTCTTGCCAAAGGCCAAGCTGGCCTTGTTTCAGCATGTCTTGCACAACAGGCTGAAGAAGCATGTGGTTCTGTTCCCCTGTGCTTTCTGCTTCTATGAGCAGCCATTGGAGCAAATCCTAAAGACAAGGGAAGTTAGTATCTCAATTAACGAGCTGTGGCTGAGCATATTCTCTATTGCCATTTGAATATTTAATTGCTCTTTGCAAATTGTGTAAGCTCATTGAGGAGACATTTGAGAACTTCTTACAATTAGGATATCTGGTCACAAGTAGGGGGGAGGGTTGTATTCAAAATCCCATTGGAAAAGTTGGAATTTGAATCCAGGTCTTCCATACCCTGGGTGGTAAACTATTACATGAGAGGGAGGCAGTAAAAATGAGCGTGACCCTGTCAGATAGGAGTATTTTCACTGCCAAGAGACAGTTCTTGGTGATATTGTTGTACTGGCAGCAACATTAAATCCAAAGTTTCAAGGTGCTGTTCCAGGCCTGTGACTCTAAACATTCTCCCACCTGATTGAGGAGCATTCTTTTCAACCTGTGAACTTCTGAGAGTCCTTTTACATTCATGGTTTTTTAAGCAATATATATATATATATAAATATATATCACATAGCTGCCTAGATATAAATCTTTGAATGTTTTGGGTATAGACCCTTGGAAGATAACTTCAACATTTATTATTTCTGTGGCTTTGGTCATTTGGTTGCCTTAATCTATCTTTAGGGCTTCTTATTTTTCGCCCTCCCCCTCATTAGGTAATGGATGTCATGATTGTGGGTTTTGCTTGACTCCTCTTATTTTTAACTAAAAGGCTGATGTATCATTTGCTGGATGTTCTCCTTTCTTCCTAGGCCTAATGATATTGCTCCTTTGACTGAAGTGACAGCTCCTGCATGATGTGTAACACAGCGCAGCCAGGAAATCTCTACACAGGCTATGTCCTCTCCAGCTTGATAACTCTCCAGGAAGAGGTTTAGCAGGTAAGACAGAGCCACAAACTCTGTTTCCATTATCAAAAGATTTAGCTTCAGCTGCTAATTCTGGAAATCTAGTGAATGAACCCAGTATTTGTGCATGTGACTTTGATAAGTGAAAATGTTACCATATGAATTTCAGGGTCTGAGAAAGATTTTTATTTTTTATTTTTTTTTAGAATACAAATTAACTTTTAGTTAAGCCACACTGAAAATAAACCTGAGAAGACAAAAGAAAATAATATTCATTATGTGCTAAATTGTTAGAGTTTATTTATTACTTTGCCAGCAAGTAGTTGAATGGCTCAGACAGAAACAGAAGTCTTGTAGGTTACAAGTTCTTTTCTGCAGTTAAAATGGTGGGAAACAGCTCTGAGAGATTTCTTGTTTTTAAAATGTTAATGTGGAGACTTATTAATGCAAGCAATGTGTCACCTTCAAGACAGCTTGTTTTCTGTGTTTAAAAAAAAAAAGCCCTGTTTAATAACCTTAATTTGGATAATGTTATGATTGAACTTCATTGTATGGGAGTCTTAAGCCTTGCTTATCTACAAAGTCAAACTTTAAAATGTGTGAAGCAGTTTTTTCTGCTCTGAGTATGCCAGCTAGAGTCTGTCTTAAAAAGTGTGTGTGTGTGTGTGTATTCCTTTTCAGATGAGAACTTTTTAAGAAGGGATTTTACTTTTAATTGACTCTGGAAGTAGCTAACTGTGTTTTGAGCTTCCTTATCCATGTTCACCTGCTTAAGTATCTTGTTAGGCTGCTTTAAAAACTTTTTGCTTATTATTCAGAAGATCAGGTAACTGAAAATAATCTAGTCCTCTCTAATTGCCTTTGGGGATACTTGGGAAAATTAATTGTAAAAATGTACTATAGTATGAATCTTCTCTTGCATTTGATTTTTCAGTGGTTAATTTGAGAAAATGAAGGAGAACAAATGTTGCTTATGTAAAACAAATGCAGAAGCATGGAAAACATGCCTATTCTTGTGAGAGGTGTGGTGTGCAATAGCTTATGATGAGGTGCAGTTGAAGGGCTGTTATGACTAAGATGGATGCTGCCTCATACAAGTCTGGTAGCACTACTATGTGTTTCTTCCTTTCACCTTCCCTACTTCTTGTTCTGCCCTTTGCAGTACTGTCCTTACATCTTTACTTCATGGGGAAGAATAGTTTGTGGGGGAATACTAGTTGACAACAGAAGCGTGCTTCCAGTTGGACTTTAAGGATAGAACACAGAAATATGTTGCAGAAATACACTGCAAGAAGGAAAAAAGGGAAATAACTTCAGGAGGTATTCTGTTGTGATCTGTGGCAATGTAGATTGCATTGAAAGGGGTTACATGTCTGTGACTTCTGACAAGTTTGTAATTATAAACTGAAGATAACATAGTGAGCTACTTATATAATTTCTTGTTAAACTTGACATGGATATTCAATTGAGGTCTAACTCTGTTTAGATTTGCCTTTTTCATCATACTGCATTCTCATTGTTTTCTGGTTTTCTGAAGTTTGGGGGGAAGGAATTAGAAAGCTTGTCCTAGGACAGGCAATAGAGGCATTTTTCTCAGGACCAGTATGCAGGCATAGACATTGTTATGGGTTTTGGAAGTTGCTTGGGGTTGGTTTTGATTTCTTTGCTCCTGAAGTATGGCCCTCAATATTTTTTTCAAATAATAATGAAAAAAAAATAATGCTCTATCTGCCAGGTACATGATTAAAAATGTGTAATTAATTTCATTAAAAATTTTGCATCTTGAGGTGTCTGGATGAGCTCAGCAAAATAGGTCACAGATTATGTTAATTCATGTTAACTCCAGAGAGTGTCTATGGCAGAGATTTGATTATAAGAGTAATAATTAAACTGATATGGAAACTCTCTGCTCTCTACTGTGGTAGCTTAATTTTTACCTTTTTTTTTTCATATCATTAAATTTACAACAATATTAAAGAGGTACATACGTACAGTATCCCTGCTACATGTTCCTTTATAGTCCTTTGCACGGGTGATGATAAGCAGTGAAAAGCCCAGCGTGGACACATAGCTTCTATGTTATTGTTCCCTTCAGTTCCGTCACATCTCTTGTCTCTGAATATTGGTGCTTGCTACTTGACTATGTAAAGAAATTAACTATCTATGGCTGGATTTTTGAATATACAAATTGGGTATTATAGGTGGTTGTGCTACCCCTGCACACAATTTGAAAAATGGAACAAGGTTGAGGAATTAATTTAGAGAAAACAGACAAACAGGTCTGAAATACTTAAAACAAATGAGCCCCAGTAAGCTCTTTCATATTATACCTGAAACACAAATTACAGCCAGGTAGTGTTCAAGCATGAAGTAAAGCTTTCACACAAACCCACATCTTTTCAAGCAGGTATCTGAAAAGAATACTTAGTATTTTCACCCTTAAAGGTGAGATCAAAATCTTTATTGAACCAACTAAAGGAGGCAAACTCTGTGTGGAAGATCACAAGTTGTTAAGTCCTCAAATCTAGTTTCTTTTAATAACGATTTTGGGGGTAAGGGTGTTGTCATATTCACTTATAAAATTGAGGTATTCCAGGGGCAGGTACTTTGCTCTCAATCAAGGCAAATGGGAATTTGTATGCTGGATTTTAGAGTTGAATTTAGGCAAGGCAAAGTACTTCAGTTCCAGGAGGATTTTTCAGATCAAATTGTCAGAACAAGCCATCAGTACTTGGAATGAATCCAGCCCAGCCTGACTGCATGAACTTCTGAAGACCCTTTGAGGCAGTTCTAGCGGATGACAATTTAAAAGAACTAAATATTACTAAGGCATTAATGAGTGTGGTTAGATTAAAACGGTGCAAAAAACTGAAAGTATCTTCAAAGATTCAGTGATCATTAGCAAGTCGTTTAATATACCCTTATGTAGTGGTCTAAACTAAAATGAGGGCATTTACCAAGAGTTACCATGGGGGTAGTATGTGACACACTGCAGATTTTTCTCTTTACAAAGGAGATAATTCATAAAGAACAGTTAAAGGCTATAGTTAAGACATAGATTTTCTTCACTTTAGTCATTGGCTGATGATGTAAACCTGTATGTAGGGTTAATAAATGTTTAAGGTTTTGCCTCAGATTGTCACTGACATGTCAGCAGAGGCTGGTTTCTCCATTCTTGGTGATATTTAAAAATTGATGGGACAAGACACCTAGCACAGGGTAATGCCAGGTTGTGCTCTGGTTTGAGTAGGACATTGGCCTAGGTGAGGTGCTGAGGTCTCTTCTGACCTCACTTAATGCAGGAGTGTCTCTTATTTCAGTCATTTTGAGTATATATTGATGCGTCTTGATAGAACTGCTTCAGAGGCACTTCTCTTGATAAAGATATTTCAGACAGCTCAAGGCTAAATCTGCTTCTATGTGGTTTTGTCAGCTGAGGAAAAACTTGTATATCCAAAGGATGCTCAGACCTTTCTGTTCTAAAGGTCAGGGAGAATAATTGTATCTTTTTGACTATCGACACTTGGAAACAAACAAGCAAACAAAACCACCCAGCATTTTTGAACTTCATATGTGTGCATGACTTTTTCCAATGACTGTACTGTGGTGGGTATTTGTTGCAGTAGTTTGCCTGTGAGAAGGAGTGGGTGAAGAGCTGGGGGAAGTTTTGTTTTGCTTACATACTCTGCTATCCAATGCCAAATCAGTGTAGAGTTGGATGGCATAAAATGGAGTGCACGGGGGAAATAAATAAAGAAGCTAGGTCACTCTTAAAAGATACTGGTTTCCTCTAGGTAAATAGTAAAATTATTTTAGCATTTCAAAAGAAAATTGTAGGCTCATGCCCCTTGCTCCTTCACCCCAGCCCCCCTTTTTGTGGTGGAAACAATTTAAAAAAGTTAGTTGAACTGTTGAATATATTGATTTGCCCTGGCAAGTTTAAATACGTGCAAAAAAACTTCCTGGATTCCTGATATCTAGCTCTTCTGAGTTGGGATTATGCCTTCAAAAAGCAAAAATCACTCATATTTTGCATAGGGCATCAGAAATAAGCCAATACCAAATAAAACTGGCTGACTGTATTTTAATAATGTTAGGTTTTTTTTCTTAGTGTGAACACTTTGAAAGTGTAACTTGAGGGTTTGAGTGTTCAAACTGATTAACTGCATGTAATTTACATTGCAGAAAATAGGTAATTATGGAATCCTGAAAATTCATCATTAGATAAATGCTTTCATCTAAGTGGATATGGCTGTTTGAGAGCGGTAAGCAGCAGAAGAACTTATAGGAGCAGACCCTCCCCCCCCCCCCCCCCCCCCCCCCCGAAAAGTTTTGTAACTTTGAAACAGCTTTTCATGGTCTTTTGAGATGGAGAAAAGTTTATAAATGCAGACCAAAAGTCTGAATTGAGTACCTAGCTCTATTAATGACTTCATATGACCAGTTTAATATTATTGTTAGAAAAATTTAGAAAAAGGAATGCCTCAGACTTTGTCACACAATTGTTTAGAAATTTGAATTTTCTTTTTCCAGATGCTGTCAATGTGAAAATTGTTGTTTAATCCATATTTGTTATTGTGAATAACTACTTATTGTATAGGTCAATATATACCTGCTTCTGGAAAAGAATGTTACAGGACATCTGGACTATTTTACTGAAAGTGGAAAGAAAAAATACTTAAAAAAAAATAATACAAAACAAACAACCAAAAACCCAAGCAAAAAAAAAAAAACAAACAAAAAAAACAGAAAAAAGAGAAAACCCCAAAAAAAAACAAAACCCCAAAGAAACAAAGAAATCCCGCCTGATCTAGTTTAGATGTTAGTTTGTTGTAAAGCACTTGATTTCTATCTGACTCCCTGTGTCCTATGATTTTGTTTCAAATTCTTAATGATCATTTGGCTCTGTGCTACTTGTTCCTCAAAAAATTTTGTTGGTCTAAACAGGAGTCTTGCCTATGTGATGAATGAAGTGTATGGCAGCTGACTAAGAAATTTCAGTGAAGCCTAAAGATAGACTTGTCTCTTGTATCTCTTCTTTGGCAGAGAAAAAGGGTGATTGACGAGAAGTACAGTATACGAAAGAACAGTTAGACACACTGACATTATGATACAGTGTCTCATCGGGGGATGTGGTGTTTTGACTACGTGGCTGCAGCAGGTCTATAATTTAAATGCCATTAACGGCACAAAAAGCAATAACACGGAGACAGGAATACTCTAAAATCTCTGGGTCTGTACTTACAATGCAGATGAAATAGCCCTTTGAACTTGTGGTGCCAAATATTGTCCAAAGTTACCATTCTTCCATGAGGAAAGCAGTTTTTGTTTTTGCAGTGGTTTATTTCTTCCCCTCCTCCTAGCACAGACAGACATTTTCTGTTTGGATTGCTTAGCTTGTGTCACTACAAAGATCCCAGGCAAAGGGAGGCAGCTTGTATTTTGCCTAACTCATGTCCCATTCACACATTCGGTGCAGAATTCACTATTGTGAATAGTCATGACTATGTTTTCTTTGTGCTTGTTGGCTTTTGAATATGCTTCTTTATACTTTTACTAAAGTAGCCCACAGAACTAATTTCACCAGAAGCTATTGGTGTTTAGCTGTAACAGAGTTACACATAGTCCTGTGACTGCATTATAATATCTCATTTGTTTCCATTTGACTGCTGTAACATTCTCTGCCTTTTAGATCTGTTGTTCCTTCCCTTTCTCTACTTTTTTTCTCTTTTAACCCCATTTTAAATTATAACTTACTTTACTTTGCTTATTGAGCTTAGCTGTGGGTAAGCACGTTTCTTTGCCCTCGCAGAAGCCAAACGTTTAATGCACCTTAGTGTAATGTATGCTATAATTGTTTGCCAAACTGGAGTGAGTCTTTCCAGAAACAGTTCCTGATTTTTGAGGACCTTGCAAAATGTGCACAATATGTTAATTGTAAAGCTTTCTTTAAGCATGCATTTCAAAAGAGGAGAGAAAAAAATGCCATGTAAGTGGAACTTGTTTAAAGTGCATTTCCATTTCTAGCAGGAGACTGTCATAATAGTTGCATTATTTCTTTACACTGATAGGATGCAAACAGAGGAATGTACTGTTTGTAAATTGCACTTGGGCATTTTTTTAATTTCAGCTGGGTCGTTCTATATATGTCTGGTGCTATACCACATAAATGCTAGCAGTTTCGAATTTTAGCTAAGTTGCTGGACTCTTTAAAATGTTCATGCAGTGCTTACAAAGTTAGCTACAATAGTAATGGTTGCAGAAGGGATAATTAGGGGGCTTCAGAAAAGTTGTCTCTTTATTGCATAAGCCCCAAGGGCTAAGTGTGGTAAATGTTGCATGGTATGTATGCTTTTCTTTTTCTCACTTTAAAACAAATTATACCTATTTGTCTGTTGAAAAATGACATGGATCTACTTTCTACTGAAGATAAAGAGAGGTAAAGAAAATTTGAGCTACTGCATTAATTAAGCAGTATCTCAGCAAAAGTCATTGAAAAATATCTTTACCTGGTTTGTCATGTGTAGCTACCTCTTAGAAGAAGACTGTAAGTAAAATGCAAAAAGATACATTGACCAAATGAAAGCAGTTGTCTGTTGCTTTTCTTCACCAATACCCAGAAAGGCAGAACAGTTTACTTAAACCACTATGCATGAGTACTACAGCCAATGGTTTTTAGTTTTGTCAGGGGACAGAGTGGGCAGAAATGTTTAGTGGCTCTAAATAAAGTTTACTGTCAGACAGTCCGAGACTTTAACTAGAAATAGTGCCTGCAAGTTACAAATTTCATAAGGTTAAGTTTTCTCAACTTCTAACAGCGAAAGTAACAGATATAACCTTCAAGTATGTCAAGGAACTGCACCACTTCTAGCTTTTTTTTTCTTTTTTTTTGTAGAGATAATTGTCTTTCTTACTGATATTTTGAAGCATCTTAAGTATCAAAATTCTGAGTCTTGAGGTACAAATACTGAAAACAAGTCTTCCTTTCATTTCCTCTTCCTACCCTTACTGCTAGTTTCTCTTTTCACTGCCCTGCACTTTTGTATGTCTTTCTGCTTGATGGTGCAACAGGAATCATGCAAACAGAAATGAGAATTCTTGTTTTTCTGGTTTCTTCTGTGTTGTTTTTTTTTTTTTTTCCTTGCTGTCTGAATAGAATCATTATCGTTTGGCTTAGCATGACTGAATTTCTTGCTATGGCTGGTCACAGTGATTAAACCAACCTAAGGTGTACACACTATTGAAAAAAGAAAATCCAATGCAGTAATTGAAATACCTAGAGGCCTCTGACTTCATGGTAAACCTCTCAAGTTCAGTGTTTTACAGACCTGTGTGCGTCTGTGCAAGTAGCTCATGGTTTGCTGTGTCCTATTTGCACAGATGTGCAACCTACAAGTTTGAATTTTGGGTAAACTTTAGTTTCTTTAATTTCCATCATGTCTTTCCATGTAAGATTAAAATGTTGAGATATGCTTCTATTGTAAATGTAGAACTTTTATGTATAAATCAGTTGCTGAAAGCAGCATTGAAGGGCACTATCTACTTGCAAAATTCTTACAGGTTTGCTTGTGACCTGTGAAAAATAATCTCTTTCTTAGCACCCTTGTCACAAAAGCTTAGCCTGGAAGGTTAGAATTCTTTTCCCTGCATTTTGAATCCCACAGAAAGTTAGAATTTATGCAGTGCTTCACCACCTATGCTAAATTGTCCTTCAAGTTAGTGGAAGTATTTTTAAGAATAGTTAATGAGTCTATGGAAGAGCTTAGTGGTGTTGTAACAGGTGCTCACAAACCAAATTGCTAATAACTGTGATGGGTCACAAACTTTGAGGAAAAAAAAAAAAGCCTGATGTTTTAATATTATATCCATAACCTTCAGTTGCAACATGTTCTGATAGGAAAATTAGGAGAAATGCTAGAAAAGTTTGCAGCATGTTTGACACACTTGACCTTAATGTTCTTTGTAATGTTCAAGAGGCTGTGCCTGACTACTAGATGATTTTTCAGAAGGAAACTTTGAAGTTAAGATTATTTTAAATATTTCAGAAATGGTCGTATGTTTGTCCATGTTAAGTTATTAACAGCTTTGAAACTATTAGCTTGAATAGCACAGAAGAAGTATTTCATTGTTTGGTTTTTTTTTTCTATCACCATAACTTCTGCCTTCAGGATCAGACAATATATACTTCATGGTGATGGACTGGGTACTGATCTCTTAGCTGCAATATGATTGCTGATACTACCTCAAAGACTGAAGCAAAGAAGGAATTAGAGTCTTTAAAGTAATGTTGCATCTGCTCCTTTTCTGTACTCTGAGAACTTTTAATGTAATCAGTGGAAAAAAGAAAAACAACCCAAAAGCTCAAGGATTAACTGACAATTTAGTTAAGGGCATTTGGAGATGCTAGGATGGTGTGCACATACTTCACACAGAATAGACAGATAATTGAGTAGTACCCATTGCATACACATCTGGGGGTATTTAGGGTATCTTCTACCCTGGTTGAAATTGCATGAGTTAAAATTTCTTGAACATATTCATGACTGGGTCGGGCTTGATCACACATAATTATTCCATTAAATGCTGCAGATATTCTGATTGTGGATTATCTTGTTTTAAATCATAACTACAGATCACATAAATAATTTTCAGTGCCCTAGTGAGCAGCTAATCAAGGGAAGAAAGCTTCTTGACTACTAGCTATAACTGGTACTTGTGGAAGAGGAGGAAAGCCTATGAATTTTTGTTCTGTCCCTAAACTGTGTGTGGCTATTTCTACTTTCCTTATCTGTTTACCCTAAAAAAGGTGTTTTGTTTGTTTTGAGGGGCTTTTGCTTGATTGAGTTTTTTGTTTGTGGTTTTCTTTTTTTTTTTTTTTTTTTTTACAAGGTGTAGCAAAATAGGACATTGATCCTGATTCCAGGTGATGATGCTGATGTATCATTGCAATAGAAATTTGTAATCAAGATTACAAATCAAGCTCTGCCTTCAGGATAAAAATATGAAGATGGCAATTCATGGATTCCTAGAATACTGCTTGGCTGGAGAAAGACTGGAGGGGCTAACGTGGGTTTAGGAGTATAGAGAAAAGTATCTTCCCTCCTTGTGGGCATGTAGGGTTGAATACTCGCTTTGTTGTCTAGGTTTATTACTAAACGTTCAAGCATGCCTGGAGGGATTTCCTGAATGAAGCTGCAACTGTATAGCTTTTAAACTCAATCAGCCCTCTTCAGTTTTCTGCATACTGCATCAATTATAATTGAGTTTACTTGGGTATATGAAAAAGGAGAGGTGTGGGGACCCCGTAACAAGTGCCTCTTTCCCCACATTTTGATGGAATGACTGCATCTAATGTGGCCCTTAGGCACCAGCAGGTATCTCTCCAGAATCTTTACATGTAATTTGTTCTTAAAAGGGAAGATGCTGGAGAGAAAAAAAATAAACATTCATCAGTAAAGAGATGAGTGAGTTAGTTTCCACTACCTGACATGAGACTTCTTCAGAGTAGAAAGAATACCAAACTGGGCTGTTCTTTGTGTACTATCGACACAATAGGTTGGCCCAGTGTGTTTCTTCCACACAGTGATCTTCTGGGGTTTGTGGTCTTCTGTAAAAAACAAACTTGAGAGAAAGCAATCCTACCACAACTATTACTAATACCAAAAAACTGTCCTAAGAAAATTGCTATTCACAGGAATAAGAACAAAGTCTACTTAATAATGCAGTATGAAATGTTACCATTAAAAAGGAAAAAAAGGTAACAAAATTGAAGGTAAAACACCTAATAACTGTTTGAAGGAAACACCCCTTTGTTAGAGTTCAAGCACAAGAAAATACTTGGCCTGTTTTGAACAGCAGTGCTTTTATAACGTGCTTTTGTTGGATCACAGTCTTCTCTCTCCTGTTTGATCTAAAAGTCCAACTGTGTTAATTTAACAAATTAATGTAATGCATTAAGCTTGTAATATGATTAAAGGTATTACTAGAACTTTATAGAAAGAAAGTTTTTTTTCTGATTCTGTTAGTTTTTCCATGCAATTGCAGATGTATACAAAACTAGCTTCATTCGGTTGAAAATTTAATCAATTTTTTTCCCCTGCGGGGAAAACATAGGATGTTTTGAAGAAATATATTTTTCACTGGACTTTTTGCTGGAAAGGCCTTTTATGTGAAAAGAAGCAAAAAGACCCCTTGCTGCCCTGGAATGGTTGACAGCCTGGTGTTTTTGGTGTGCTTCTGGAATGTCAGAGCTCTGTTGTCGGAGAGGGGCCTGGAAATCTGGGTTTCCGATACTCTGTGTGAAAGTCTTAACGATCAGACTGCTATCTATCTGGAAAGTGATCATGCTGCCTAGCTCTT